TTAATTAATCCATTAAAAGTCAACTGTAAAACAAACCCTATACATAAATACTAAAAACATTTCAGATGACGGAGGAGCAAAATCAATTACCCCACATGCCACCTTCACTGATTATATATTGGTGGCATGATTTCTTTCTAAATTTCAGTGGGAAAGAAAGGGCAGAGGTGTGCTAAACCTCCAGTTTTTAAAAAGTGCAAAAAAAAGGGGGAGAGGAGATAAAGATCCCAATTTTATTCCGTCTGAGGAAAAAACAAAATAATTTGCCACTGCCATAATCCTGGTTTCTGCATTCTTCATACCCCCCAGAACAATACAAAAATGCTAGCTAATCACCCCTATTGTGTTCCTCTGTGTATCTATATTCCTCCAATTATGTATTTAAATGATATGATATGATATGATATGATATATGACATGATATATGATATGATATGATATGATATGATATGATATGATATGATATGATATGATAAGCATTTAGATCACAGTTTTGAATATGGTCATATTATTTATGTACTGCTGTTGTTAGAAGTTACAGATTGTTCATGATTTTATCAATAATGTGATGTAGTCAATAATGGATTGTCCATGGTTTAGCCATAGGTTGTAAGCAATGTCATGACACAACAGGAACTGAATGGGTTTGCAGGGAAAGCAGGCCAAGGGAAATTAGGATAAAGAAGAGAAACAGCAAAACCAAGACAAGCAGAAGCACAGAAATTTTTAAAAAACAATGTGGACAAATGAGATTTTTCCCCCCAGTTATTTCTTCTGCAATAACATCAAAACTAGAGGAGATTTGGAGCAATGTTAAAATTACTCGTTCACACATAACTGTATAACTTGCTAAAGTATCCTAGCTTTTAAAAAGGGATAGTATTTTCCTCTCCATTAGCATCTAATGTTGAAGTCATATAACGATTTCTGATATTAAGGATATAAACATATTGATTCATATGGAAGCAAACCAGTCAATCATTAACAGTAAGGGCAGATCAATAAGGAAGAAACAGAAAGAGACTATTTTGCTTGCTACCTGCAGTCCATTTAATTCTATTCTCTCTCTATGCAAATTATATACCTGCAATTATCGAGACTTCTGTCCACAGTGGAAAAATGCCGTCCTAATTTTATCTATTTCTGATTAATTTATTGCATGAAGTGTGAATGATTTTTCCTTATTTCTTTCTAGAAATTTTATTATTTTTAGAGAAGAAGAAAATAAAATAAAGTAGAATAGTTGTACAATTTTCAAATAATAGAATAGCATAAACATGGTATTTGAACTTGAAATTACTAGTTTAATGTGATGCTTCCCAAGCTACTGCAGCTAAAACATTTGGGGGAGGGCAGGGGGAGACAATATTGCATATAAGATAAAGAAAGGGTTACAAATATTTTGTACACTTTAGAGTACTGTAATGAGAAATTCTATGGGACCATAAACTTTAAAACTTTGTAAGTAGGGGGAAGCAATTAACTCTTCTTGTACATCAGATTTTATTTATTTAACAAAATTGTACCTAAATCCAGAGGTGACATTAAGTCTTGGTTTTAACCATGGTTTGTTGAAGTTAGAAACAAGCCAGATTCAATCCTGTAGCAAAATTGTGTAGCAAGTTTGACCAATGCTTTATTATTATTGTTTGTCGCACAGTCAGCCAGATGTTTAGACTGGATTTGGAATTTTTACCCACCTATCGAGTCCTTCTCAAGGACCTGGGATAGGCAGATGTTGTTGTTGTTGTTGCTATTGTTATGTTATCCTCTTTGTCTTGCACGTCTATGAATTTGGGTAAGGCAAACCATGAATCAGCTAGGAAACTGCGAACCAACCATATATCTTCCATATCACAGTTCTAATTAGTAAGTCACATACCCTATGTTTTCAAAGTATCCTAACCCAAGTTTATTTGTTGACCAATCTTATATTCCTATATTAAACTAAGCCAAAAAGAAACAAACACTATTCCTACTTTTTTGTTGTTGTTGTTGTTGTTGTTGTAGTATGTTAAATTTGGATTGCGTGATACACAAATAGTAATACTGTACCTACTTCTATTTCACAATTATGACAATATAAGCTGTTCTTCTTAGAGATGATGTCTCCCAACACAGATATAGCTACATGGTCATGTACCACCTATTCTGAACTGTCTAGCAAAGAGGTCTGCATTTCTCCTGACCTTTTAATTGGATTTATTTTTTATTTTACTAGTGATTATAAGTTGTTAATTTTTAAGATGCCACTCTATTTTAATTGTTACTGCAGTTTGATTTTCCATTAAAAGCTATGATTAAAATTCCTTTAATGAATAAGTTGAAACAAATATATATTTAGATGAATATAACTAGCTATAAACCAGATACAATTTAATTAGTTCCTGTTATCAATTATGGCAGTTTACAACTTTAAATAACAAGTTATGGGATTGTACAAATATAATATCTATATATTATGTATGTATGTATGCATGTATGTATGTATGTATATATTCTTAGATTAGATTGAACCATTTTCTTCAGTTGAGATTTCAATCTTTTACCAAAGCTATTTCATATGTTAAATTTGGGTTGCGTGATACACAAATAGTACCGAGAATAAAGAACACTATTGATTTGTATAAGTCTTTCATTTTGAAGCTTTACTTATTGATTATCTGTCCCTTGCATACTTTAAGAGGCAATGACTAAGACTACAATTGTAAACTTCCAAGGGACAAATTGATATTTTTGAAACTATTATTATTCCATTGCTGCTTATACACAAAAGTACCATGTTATGTGGGAGGACGCTGTTATTTGGTGGAAGTGGGGGTGGGTGGAAATCACTTGAAAACAAACCATGCAGGAAGTGAATTGGTTCTTGTGGCAGCTGGTTAGAAAAAGAACAAAAAATGGATACAGGTAGCTAATGCCATGGAGATAGAAAAGTTTCAGTTGCCCTCAAAGTATGACCCACGCCATGGAATTTATATAGGTTTACATTTCCTATTCAGCACCAAGACACATATTAATGTTAGTTTACAGGACTACACTATGCTTCACTTGCTGAATTCTATTGCTAAATATGGTGAATCAGTCATTTCTAACAGGAAACCTTGCATTTCCTCCATTTTTCAAATCATGGTGCTGATCTTCTCCCATTTTACCCTCCAGCTGAATCCTCTCCTGCCCTTCCATTGATGGAATCAGGAGAAAAAAAAAAAGAGAGAGAGAGAGAGAGAGAGAGAACTATATAGTGTCAGTCGGCACCTCTATAGCTGATGACTAAATGGGCACAAGTAAAATAACGTCCAATACCTCTATGTGTAACAACTGCAAGCGATTTAGTTCTTTCTATCTGCTGAGCATGTCTTGGCCGTCTTCTTATACTTTGGGGATCTGCTGATTGAAGGGAGAGCGAGTCCGTGGAGGTGGTGAGCTCCAGGTCTGATTTTCTGAGATTCACGGCTTGCCCTCGCTGCTCTTCGGAAAGTCTATGGCTGGTGACAGTAGTAAGACTGGATACAGTAACATCAGCAGATGTGCTAGCAAAGGTATTATCACCACCGGTAGCCGCAATATGCTCCTCTAACTCACCAGTGGAGGCAGTTTGGGTCAAAGTGGAAGAAGAACCTGTGGGATACACAGTAGCACTAGATGCTAACTTTTTTCTTTGGAATGGTGGATATATATATATTTTTTTTCTTTCTCTGATCAAGTTAACCAAATAAAATTGCCCTTTCTTTACCACATTTAAGATAACTTAGCAACTCAGTGGTTGTTTATTTAAAATAAAATCTGCCATACTCAGAGAACATATGTGCATATCAACAAACATCATGTACCTGCTATCACAGCATTCCAAGGGTAAGCCAAAGGGAAAAGGTGTCAAGAATACAATGCAGATTTTTTTTTTCCTTTTCTTTTCTTAATCTTTCACTGATGAGTCCATCTGAGGATGGCACGTTTTACCTGAAGCTGTGCAGTAGACATGGAAAAACCAGTGTGACATAGAAAGACCAGAAATAATTAACCATAGTGATAGTAGTTTAATAGCATTAAAACTATTATATGTGGGTCTGTGCATGGTGTAATGGTTAAAGTGCTGGACTAGGGTTGGGGAGAACTAGAAAGACCATCCTCAGCTACAGAAGCTCACTAGTTGACTTCAGGCTAGTCTAACTTGCTGAGCTTTCTGCCCAGGTTTCTTGCTGCGGGGAAAAAAGTGGAGAAATAAGATAAATGAAATAAAATATAAAAATAAGGTATTTGAGTTGAGCTCATCCCCTGATAAAACTACATAACATATGTTCATGATAATAATACAGAAGTGGTTTCACACTGCCTTCTTCCAAGACGTTTTCTGACTTCCCTATTAAGTCCACAGCTCTGGGATTTTCCAGTGCTCTCCCATCTAAGTAACTGGCTCTCACCCTGCTTAACTTTTTCAAGAATATCCATGGTCAGCAAAATTGTATCACCTGCCGTAGCACCTCCACACAAGCAATATTTTAGCAGAATTGTTCTTACATCCAAAAATATGTGATAGTTTTCTTTCTGACAAAGGATATTTAAAAGCTATGGATAAAATCCCCATGCAACTACATAAAGGGAGTTCATAAGGCATAAGAAAGTGCCATTGATCCTTTGACTGTCAACTGTGCATGCCTAGAAGTTGTAAAAAGGCAATCAGAGGGCTACTTAAACTTGGAAAAATATCACAATGCACAAAAGAGGGGGAAACAGGATCCTACTTGAATCGGTCTTTGCACACCGCCAAAGATTTTTGTTTTAACCCATTGATTTTAAGTGAGTCCACCTCTGCTTCAACCTATTAGGTAGAAAACTAGAATGAGGACAAAACAATCACTTAAATCAAATAGACCTCATGTGTATAATAAGTATTTAGACAAGGAATAGAAGTATCCAGCCCTTCCTACAGTATTTGCACAATGATGGTGTAAAAGAGAATATTAAGCTTTATAGTATACCAGCAGGAATCTCTCATATCAATATTCTATTCTGGCATCACTTTCAGGGGTTCTCTTCAATCAAATTCAATTATTATTAACATCACTCATTGTATGTGAAAAATACATACACATTACAAATAGAACTTTAAGAAATACAATAGGTTCAGAAAAGGAAAGTGAACACTGAAAAAAAAAAGAAATCTTTCTGAGACTTATCTAAGATATTAATTGTACCATACAGATTTTGGTCTGTTAAAGATGGGAAAGTACTATTGCTATTACAGGTAGTCCTCATTTAGTGACCACAATTGGGACCAGCAACTTGGTCATTAAGTGAAGTGGTCACTAAGTGAAACCACAAGTGTGCTTACGATTTTACTTCACCTTTCTTTTGCTTTACAGACCTGCAAAGGCTGCAAATGAGAGGACTTAACACAAAGTTACTTTTTCATCACCATCGTAACTGTGAATGGTCGCTAAATGAGGCCGCCGCTAAGTAAGGGCTACCTGTATTTGAAAGAAGTCTAAATTTTTAGACTTCTTTACTTGTAGTTAAAATTACTATTTTAATTACAGTATGCCTACTCTGAGATTATTTTACATATATAAAAAAGATTACAAATCTTGTGGATGAATAAATAAAATGTCATGTTATTAAAAGCTATGTTCCTTTAGGATAAGTAAGCACTCTTCCTCCATCTATCCTATATATCCCTACTTTCATCATCCTAATACATTTTAGTAGCCAAACAACTCCTGAAAATGTAGGTGGAATATTCATCCATCCATCCATCCATCCATCCATCCATCCATCCATCCATCTCTCAATGCTCAATCTTCTGGTTTAGAACAATTGTTTCCTTTACTGTATTGTGACCAAATCTAAAATTACTCCCCTGTTTTAAAAGAACTCATCTTCCTGTCCAGTAAACACAGTATGTAGACTTGGTATACATTTGTAACACTGGCTCTGTTAGCTTCCTTTCTGTCTTGAAATATTGAAGGTGTGGTTGATATCTTACAGTTTTGTTTGAGTTACTTTGTTTAAGCTTCTTGTATTTCTGTCTGCCTGATTTGAAACTATAGCCAAGCATGACCGAGAGATGTCAATATACACAAATAGCAAATGTCCTTTTGATGTTGCTCCTCATCTTGGGACCTAATGCCACTACTTCTGTTTGGGCTAGACATGAGAACACTAATAAATTTCCATACCCGCATGGCTTTCCACTAAATCTGATATTCCAAGATTGCTGATTACTATGCTTATATCTCCTTCTATATGTTGTCTTTTCTTTCTTTCTTTCTTTCTTTCTTTCTTTCTTTCTTTCTTTCTTTCTT